AAAATAATAATAAAAAAAAAACTGACTCAACCGACACTTTTAGGATGAACTGATAAACTCATGGCTCAACACTTTGCCTGTTTTTGGTGTGCAAAGATGTTTTTCGTTTCAGTTTCACCTTGGGAAAACAGTATTTTGGGATTTTTGATTCCAGCATTCAGGGTAAGGAGGGTAGTATGTGGCTCAGTGGTCGAGCACTTTTAAAAAATAAAAATTAAAAAAATAATAATAAAAAAAAAACTGACTCAACCGACACTTTTAGGATGAACTGATAAACTCATGGCTCAACACTTTGCCTGTTTTTGGTGTGCAAAGATGTTTTTCGTTTCAGTTTCACCTTGGGAAAACAGTATTTTGGGATTTTTGAATCCAGCATTCAGGGTAAGGAGGGTAGTATGTGGCTCAGTGGTCGAGCACTTACATAGAAAGGGTGAGATCTTGTGTTCTCTCCCCAGCAGCATTTAACAGGGTAGAGGAAGGCTGGAGAGACAGCTCAGTATTTAAGAGCACATATGGATTTGCAGATGACCCAACAAGTTCAGGTCTCAGCTCAGAACCACCTGTAACTCCAGCTCCAGGGCACCTGACACTTTCTTCTGGCCTCCTGAGCACCCACACACATGTGGCCTACACAGATACAGATATACATGCACATATACATAAAACAAAACTGAAAATCTAACATTCCAAACAGTAAATAGTAGCATAGGAAACAACTGTTAACCAGTAAAAAAGATTTAGAAAGCACTTTTTAAATAAACTAGTGTTGAGCAGAAATAGTACTAGCAAAGAATATAAATTCAGAAAGATCTCTACATGATTCATTTGTTAGAAAAAATACTAAGTCATGTTGGATTTGATTTACAGTTTACAAAATGCTTTGCCATTTGGCAGCTAATCTGGAGCAGTTTTCACAGCTTAATTTTATAGAGAATACGGCTCAGATGAGCTTTCTTTACAAACTACACTCCCAAACCCAGACTTATTTAACATCACTAATTCAGCTCTTCCAACCCAGTAGTTACTGAGTTAGCCAAAGTCTATTAAAAAATAATCATAGGAGGGGGCTGGAGGGGGCTCAGTGGTTAAGAGCACTGGCTGCTCTATGTAGGGGACCAGGGTTCGAATCCCAGCACCCACATGGCAGCTAATAACAGTCTGTAACTCGTTTCAGGGGATCCAATGCCCTCTTCTGACCTCTGCCAGCATTGCATGACCTGGGTGTTCCTACATCCATGCAGGCAATACAGTCATATACATAAAATTAAAATAATATTTTAAAGATGTCATAGGAGCTAGGCATGTTGGATTATGCCTATAGTCTATAAAGTATAAAACGGGGTGTGGTGGAGCATCCTGCTATCCTAGCACTAGGAGGGTGGAGGTAGAGGATCAGATATATGTTCAAGGTTATCACCAGCTACATAGGGAGTTTAAGATGAGTCTAGAATACATGAGACCCTGTCTTCCCTGCCCCTAAAAAATCATAGACAGTACAGATCCACATATTAATGACTGCTGACTTGGGAGAGGATCTGACTTACATCCATCTACACAGCAGAAATCTCCCAAATACACACAAAGGGAAGGTTCCAACCTTCATGAAAGAAGTGGTCTGGCAGACACCTCAGCTTGCTCTTGCTTAAAGGTCTTTATACTAAAAGCACAAAGAGCAGCAGGGTGTGGTAGCTCCTGCTGTAATCCCAGCACTGCTTGGGAGGCAGAGGCAGGAAGATTCCCACAGGTTGAAGGCCAGTCTGACCCACATAGTTAGACCCTGTCTCAAAAAGCCAAACAAACAAAAAACAAAGTGCAGGTTTGGGGTAACACTGATATGCTTCAAACTGCTTCCCAAACCACAAACCAAAGCAGTTTCCCTAAAATGAAGCTGAACAAAGTCCAATTGAACTGATTCAATTAAATGAATAACCATCACCTTTGACTTGCTTTATGTGGAAATATAAAAATCATAAGCTCCATCATTAAGATTCAAAACCATCAATAAGGGACTAAGAAATGTCTCAGTGATTAAAAGAGAGGACCAGAGTTCAGTTCCCATCAACCACATGGGCAGTGCACAATTGCCTGTAACTCCACCTTCAGGGCATCTGAAGCCTCTGGCCTTCATGGAGTCCTGCACTCAGGTTCGCAGACACACAGTGATACATAATTTAAAATAATAACAATAGGGTCAGGCATGGTGGCCTGTGCCTTTAATCTCAGCACCTAGGAGGCAGAGGCTGGCAGATCTCTGTGAGTTCAAAGCTAGTCTGGTCTACATAGTAACCTCTAGACCAGTCAGGGTTACATAGTGAGACTGTCTCAAATAACGAACAATAATAAAAATTAAAAAGCAACATATATATGTGTGTGTGTGTGTGTGTCTGTGTTTCAGCACAGTGCAGTGATACATGCAGACACTGTGATATTAGAAAAAAAAAAAACAGCAAACTTGACCTTTTCTATGGCACTTACCCACATTTCTCTTGATTTTATTTTTAAGATAGAATCTCACTTTGTAGCCCAGGGTGACCTGGAACTCACTATAAAGGCCAAACTGTCCTCCAACTCCATGTGATCCTCCTGCCTCAGTTTTCCAAGTGCTAGGATGACATGCTACCACACAGAACTATCCACTGGATTTTCAAAAGCAACACATTAAACTTTGAACAAATGAAGCAAATTTAAAGGGCCTTTTCTGCTTGGGCCTCATAATGCAAGATTGGGGGAGCTCGCCTTTTCATGGCTATTTCTCAGCAAGATTATACAATGGATCAGCCAGCCACCTGGTATTTCCAAAGATCTGGACAGTTTTTTTTT